GGGGTAGTATGGGACCTCTCATTCAGGAGGAACATGCAAGATTGGGAGATTGCGGAGCTCCAAGTTTTGTTGGCGCTGCTATACGGGCAAGACAAGCTTCAGCCATCCTGTGACTCTTGGAGATGGGACTTGCGTGGCGATGGTTTGTTCACCGTAAAGTCCTTTTACCAGAGTATGTTGGTGAGAGAGGAGACCACTTTTCCATACTCCTTGATCTGGATTCCTAGGGTGCCCACGAAGGTGTGCTTTTTTGCATGGCTAGCGGCAAGGGGAGTGATCTTGACTGCTGAAAATCTCCGAAAGAGGTGAATTACACTTGTTAGTTGGTGCTACATGTGCAAAAGCTTAGGGGAAGAAGTTGATCACCTTATGTTGCATTGCCTTGTGTCCTCTGCTTTGTGGAGGGCAATCCTGAATCTTTTTGGTGTTCAATGGGTGATGCCAAGCACTGTAAAGGAAATGTTACATAGCTGGGGCGGTTTTCGTAGAAGAAGAAAGCAGAAGGCGTGGAAGTTCGCCCCGTTAGCTCTCATGTGGGTAGTATGGGGGGAGAGAAATAGGAGAGCTTTTGAGGAGATTGAGTCTCCTTTTTCACATCTTAAGAATAGTCTTTTATCTTTGATCGCTTTTTGGTGCACTCATTTAGCCCCTACTTGTATAGAAGATTGGACGTTTTTTTGTAGAGAATCATGTTCTGATGTAAATTCTCTACGTCTTTGGTATACTTCGTGTATACGGGAGTTCTCTCCCTTTTGATTAATACAATTTACCTTATCAAAAAAAATGCTTAGATTTTGTTTTTTCAAATTTCATGTGATGATGTGCAGCAAGTACAACATTGCCGATGGTATGCGGCAAATGTTTGATCCATTTGAAAGAGTTGCTCGTGCTCATCACATTTGCCCTTGCTGTGAGCGTCCGTTCTCTGCTGAAGAGGAGGATGAATTTGTTAAGAAGGTCTTTCTTTTACCTCTATTTTGTCATTCTTTCCAGTTCTTTTGGAGAGTCATCTTCTGACTACTACTGTCCTGACTCATTTTTTGTTTATGAATTGCAGCAACGAGTGAAAGCTGCTAGCTCTGCTGAACATATTAAAGTATTAGCTATGGATTCTTCAAATGCTGATTCTCGTTTCCAACAGTTAGACAAGCTTCGTTTGGTTTATGAAGAGTATCTCAAAGTTGGAAAGGAATCAATTCCTCTAGCAGAGAAGAACCTGAATGAGCTAAATGAAGAATTAGATCACAAAAATCAGGCTCTTGATGATGTAATTTCAGATCCTTTATATTTTATTTTCTAGTATTGGGACTTTACCAGTCATATATTGGAACTGTTACTGTGACTGCTGAAGTAACGACCTGTTTGGCCCACCTGCACCATTTTGGCTTTCATCCCCACCTTTTCTGTTTTAGTAATGACTTGTTTGCTAAGTTGCTCGGACTTTTCAGTTTTGGTGCCGCACCCGTGTCGACACAACGTGGGTGTGGGTATGGATAGGTACCGGATCTGCTCAATCGATTTTGGGCACTTTGACCAAAATCAACGGAGAAGTTTGAGACAGATACAATGATTTCTAAAATTAATACAAATGCTAGGGTGAAATTGGGAATAAAAGAGAAACTTTCTGCACTCTACAAGCACCATGTAAGTTTTCCACATAATGTATCATAATTTTGGCATATTTTTATAACTCTATTTTGAGATATTTGAATCATTTCCGAATCCCCGCACACGTATCCGTAGCCCCGAATTTTAAAATTTAGATCATGAAGGATCCAACCTCTAGATTCGCGCCTGTATCAGACACCTGTACCCGAGTCCGAGCAACTTAGCTTGTTTGTCCCACCTGCACCATTTTGGTTTCCCCCCCACCTTTTTCAACATAATTTGATCTTCCTCCTTTTGTTTTCTGAGTCTCCCCCATCTCTCAGTAGAGATGCTACGGTAGGACTCAGCAAAATGGATAAGATACCTGTTCCTAAGGAAATGCATCCTATGACCAATTCCTTATTACATACATCTATGCATGGAGAATAGATGTGGGAGGATGTCCGTCATCCTTTGGTAATGTTAACACTAATAATTGGCCTCATGTAGTCTATGTTCTTGTTTGCAAAGACAAATATGCTTACATATATCAGCTGTATATCTTGTCTCGGAATTCATGCTCACAATACAAGACTAACTTTTGGCATCTTATTAATATTGCTGGTTTCTCTTATGATGTTTTCCATGCTTATTTCACTATATTACATATTTCTCATCCACATGATTTCTCATTATCTATTTAAGTTGTTTTTATTGCACCATTCTTATTATGCTGCTTGGGATTTGGCAGAGAGTTGGTCTATTTTTATCGAGTTCTGGTTTTCTTGGATCTAGAATCATTTCAAAAAGATTTGATAAAACAACGAAATATTTTAGGAGGAGTTGATAAACTCGGGCATTGGCTTCCCTAAGTGGTGATCACTGCTCTAAAAATTCCCAAGGTAGCTTCTTTTGGAGATCCAATTTTGATGAGCGATAACTCAGTCACCACTACTCTCTCTTTGTGGTTCAGCTTTAGCAGAGCATGCAACCTAGCATGACTATGTAGGTTGTAACTTGTAAGTAATGAAGTCAATCAAATAATGCTATTAGTGAGGGCGCACGTTCCTCAGAGCGTGCAAGAGAAGGGGAAATAATGATCATTCAGATAGTCCATTAACTCTTTTTGATTGTACATAATAATCCTTTTTGCTAGCAGGTTTTAGGTGTCTTGGCTCAGATAAAGGCTGAGAAGGATGCAGTTGATGCGCTAATACAACCTGTAGAAACATCTGACAGGCTTTTCCAAGAAATTCAAACTCTGCAGAAGCAAGTCGATGATTTGGATTATGGTCTTGATATCCGTGGGCAAGGCATAAGATCTATGGAGGAAATTCAATCGGAATTGGATGAACTGCAGAGCAAAAGGTATATTATTCTTCCTGTCTGCTAAAGTGCTTCTTTTTTCTTCTTTTCTGTATGTTGGACCAAATTTCTGATCATTTGGTAAACTCTTGTATTTGAATTTTTAATAGCTAGGGGAGTCAGCACCTAAATTGTAGTAATACAAAATTATGCCTTAGACTGTAACTTTTATCACTGTCCTATAACTGACAACCAGGGAAAATTTGTCTTCGGAAGTGGAGAAACTGAAAGATGATCGGAGGTACATGGAAAATGAGTTTTCAAGTTTCCAATTAAGATGGTTTACTGTAAGGGAAGAGAAGACGCAAGCAGCAAACAAATTGAACAATGTTAAAAGGGCAGAAGAGGAATTGGATGACTTGGTGGAGCAGAAAAATAAAGTTGAGCTTGAAGAGAAGGTAATCCTTTCACGGTTTTTATTAGGTTCATGGTTATCATAGTTGCATTTAGCTAGCCAATTGCATTCAAATGTTTATAGTCTTCTTCTTTAATTCGTTCTTTGAAGGGACGAGTTGTTTTGCTCCCTAACATGTATTTGTTTTCATGGAGTCTTTTAAAAGAGCAGTGTACTGAGAGTTACGTGAAAATAGCGCCCGTAATCCCTTACCTCTACAACTTGCTCCACGTTTGTTCCTTGCGTATCAAACCTTGCAAGGACCACTCATGACACCTTAAAACTGATATGCTTTTGGTTAAAAAAGTTATTGAGAGAATGGCTCACGTGACATGCACCTGTAACCATTACCTAAATTCAGAGAGAAGCCTGATGCTTGGAGCCTTCTCTCCCCTTATCTGCCACTTGTCTTGCCCACTTAGGTAACCTAGCATCCTTCCAATACCCAAGTAAAAGTCCAGATCTGTTCTACAGTGAGAAACCTGTTTTTTTTCTTTTGATAAGTCAAGTATCATTTTGTTGATGCCATACCAAGTGTGTCGAAAACTATTTACAACAAATGAGAATGGCTCAACCAGCATTGCCTATCATAGTCTCCATGTTGGAGATTGAACCTTATGTTGGAAGAAGAAACGATGTTTTAGATTTTCTGTGATACATGAATTTTACTTACGTCTTACGTAGTTCATGAATTAGTTTATTGGCTTGTACATGTACTAGGAAAAAGCAGAGTTGTAGAACTGATTATGAAACATGTACTTGACTAGGTACATGTTAGACTAATACCTGTAAATACGTATGTTGTATGGCTGACTTTTTTTTTTCTGTTTGCTGATGGTGTTGTATAGTCAATTTATTTGAGTCAAGTTGAGAGAAGTAATAGAATTATATTTTCCTCCACTTGTCTTCAAGAGAAAATGTGTGATTGAGTGCTATTCCTCCCCGGATTTCCAACATCTATTCATCTAGGTTGCCTTTTTATAAGTGTGTGTAAAATCGTAGACCAATGTTATTAAAAGCGCACGCTTCTCGCTTAAAGTGCAGAAGCGAGGCGAGGTGAGGGGTCTGCGCCTTTCTGCCCTAAAGCGCAGCATTGGTAAATAAGCGCACGCTTCACCCTAAAAAGCGAGAAGCGAGGCGATGAAAAAAGCGCAGAAAAGCTCGCTTAAGCGAGGTCCAGCGGGCTACCTAGGGTTTTCTTAAAAAAAAAATTGCAAATACTTGCACACACTTCTTCCAAACATCTGCTTCTCTGCTGCAAGCGACGACTGCAACCTTCGACTTTTTCTCTTCTGCTCTTCAGGTAAGTTTCTCTTCTTCTCCTTCAGTTCTTTCTTCTCCTCTTCCTCTTCTGATTTTCTCAGCTTCACTGTTCACTGTTCGACTCCTCTCCTCTTTTCTCTTCTTCTCTTTCTCTTCTTTTCTATTTTTTTCAGTTCTTATTTATCTGTTCTGCCCTGTTTTATGCTTGTGCTCTGTTGTTTTTAATTTCTGCTGTTCACTCACTTCACTGTTCGACTTCTCTCCTCTGTTCTTTTCTTCTTTTCTATTTTTTTCAGTTCTTATTTCTTTGTTCACCCCTGTTTTCTAATTTATGCTTGTGCTCTGTTTTTTTTTTTTTTAAAATTTCTGCTGTTCACTGCTCTGTTTTCTGCTGTTCACTGTTATGTCATGTTTTAACAGTTCCTATTATGATTTGGTTTTGCATTTGCTTAATATGTTATGACTTTTGAGGATTATTGACTATCTAGTTTTAGTATCTATTATTTACTTCTTAATTTATAATTGAAACATTTGCTTAATATGTTACTTTTATTGAGTTCTTGGTCATTTATCTATGCCTATTTAATTTTTTTTATTTATGTGTTATATTGCGCTTCACATGAAAAAAGCGCGCGCCTCGCTTCACGCTTCTCGCTTCGGTGAAGCAAGGCCTCCTCGCTTTTTTCCGCTTCTCGCTCTCCAAAACACTGTCGTAGACATCAAGCCTCCCAAAAGTCTAACCAGCTTTCTGCAAAAAATGTTATTTCCCTTTACACCAAAAGTATTAAAGAAATTAAAGAGAACTCTTGACCCTCGATTTTGGACTTTCTACTCCGTCAAAAGTTCGTTCCTTTCACAGGACCGAAAATATGCAAATATGTGCTGTCCTTCCCCC